TTCTCAGAGTGGAAACATAGTTTGGTAAAGCTGGATGCTTTTTTGAGGGGATAGAGTAAGACCAGAAAGTAATCCATACTTTTCAATCTTTAAGTAAATAAATTAAATAATGGATGAAAAATGTAAGCCTTAATGTGATGCAGAGTAGTAGATATTAGATTAATACAGGGTCATGGATTTTTCTTTAACGGGCTTGGCAGTAAAAATTTTAGTCTTTGTGGGCCACATAGATTCTGTGGCATATTGTTGTGTTTTTTTTTTTAAGGTGTTTAAAATGTAAAAAAAAAAAAATTATTATCTCAAAGGCTATGCAAAAATGAGCCATGGGCTGGATTTAGCCTTCAAGTCATAGTCAGCTAGCCCCTGGATTATCTTTTAATTCAAATATTTCAATGCTGCATTTTCGTACCAGTAGTCAAAGTATTAACAAAGGAGAGCTCTACCTCCACATAATATTTAGAAAGGCTGAAGAGAAAGTCACTTTAGACCTGAAAATAAGAAAAAGCCTAATAATCTATATTATCATTTTTTTAGATCATGAGAGAGCTGAGGTAATAAGGTAGCCACAGGAACTGATATAAGAGGGTGACAAGTCCCTCTGAGGTGAGATGAGACACACAAACTGTGTCACCTCTGGCAGAACATGTGTGCAAGAAGTGACAGTCATAAAATGGGTAAGAAGAAAACACTCAAAATTAACAAATTCATAAAGTTTACACATAGGCTACTGAGACAGCTGGAATCCCTGGAAGTCTCAGACATAAGTAGAATCCACATTCACAGACAAGTGAGATCCCATCTCAAAGAAAATAATAGTCAAACGGTATAAGGCTGGATGAAAAATCAAGAACAAAAATAACAGATGCTGGTGAGTTCGTGGAGAAAAGGCAATGTTTATACACTGTTGGTGGAAGTGTAAATTATTTCAACCATTTTGGAAAGGAGTGTGGCAATTCCTCAAAAAGCTAAAAGCACAACTCTCATTTGACCCAGAATCCCATTACTGGGTATATTAAGACACATGCACAAGTATGTTCATTGAAGCACTATTCACAATAACAAAGACGTAGAATCAACCTAAATGTCTATCAATAGGAGACTGGATAAAGACAATGTGGTATATATGCACCATGGAATATTATGCATCTGTTAAAAAAAAAAGAGAGAGAGAGAGAGACATCATGACCTTTTCAGGAACATGGATGGAGCTGGAGGTGATTATCCTTAGCAAACTAACATAGGAAAAGAAAACCAAATGTCACATGTACTCACTTATAAGTGGGAGCTAAATGATGAGAACACATGGACACATAGCAAGGATCAACACACTGGAGGCTATCACAGGGTGGAGAGTGGGAGGAGAGAGAGGATCTGAAAAAATAACTAATGGGCACCAGGCTTAATACCTGGGTGTCAAAATTATTTGTACAACAAACCCCTGTGACATGTGTTTACCTATATTACAAACCCGCACATGTACCCCTCAACCCAAAATAAGTTTCAAAAGAACCTCACAAAACTTTATGAAATAGTCTGATCTTTCTACTTAGAAGAAATAAATTCACTTATTTTTGTACAAGGAAGGAAGGGAGGAAGGGAAGGAGGGAGGGAGGGAAGGAGGGGAAGAAAAAGAGAAAAATAGGGCTGAACAAATGTGTCTGTCTCTACCCAAACAGGTCTTCATGAGAAGGTACTTTGAGCAACTTACATGAGAAGTAACAAAAATCAGAGGATGTATTAGTCCATTTTCGTGCTGCTGATAAAGACATATCTGAGACTGGGCAATTTACAAAAAAAAAAAAAAAAAAAAAAAAAAAGGTTAATGGAGAGTTCACAGTTCCACATGGCTGGGGAGGCCTAACAATCATGGCAGAAGGCAAGGAGGAGCCTTCTGTTATTCTGGCTGTTGTTTCTGAGCAATTCAAACTTGCCTTGGGCCCCAGTGAATCCTGTATTCTCTTGTAGGGCACCTTTTCCCTGGATTAACAGCGCAGTTGAGAACCAACACAGACTGGTTAGTTTAGGAAGAAAAAGAAAAGAAAAATACAGGGGATCAACATTTCCTCCCCCATGATATTATTGTTCTCTTTTTACTTTTTCTATTCAATCTAGAGAAGGATATTTGAATCCCAAAATTTCTAAGCTGAGAGACCGCTGAAAGATCATCCTATAGAGTATAGCCATTTTCCAAATAAATATTGTTTTAGCAACAGAACACTTTTGTGAAATGAAATTTCATCTAAAACCCTACTGCAGAAAATGGGGCAATAAAGTAATATTTTTTCATATAAATGTGTCACCTTAGTTTCAAGTTATCTTTCTATAACGGCTGTCAGTAAATTTGATTGAGGTTCTTTTGAGGCACCTAACAAATTGTTCTGTGGATTTCTGCAAAACACTTCAGTTCCACATTGGCTTCTGCATCTAATTTTTTGGTATTTTTATTGCTATTGTTTTACAGCTACAAGAAGATCTTGATTTTCACAATATATTGATCACTAATCTGTGTCTTGGGGGAAAAAAGAATCCCATTTTAAAACTAAACAAGTTACAAGTAAAGGATGGAAGAAGATGTACCCTGCAAATATGAATCACATAAAAATTCAATGTGTCGGCCGGGCGCAGTGGCTCAAGCCTGTAATCCCAGCACTTTGGGAGGTTGAGGCAGGCAGATCACGAGGTCAAGAGATTGAAACCATCCTGGCCAACATGGTGAAACCCCGTCCCTACTAAAAATACAAAAATTAGCTGGGTGTGGTGGCGTGTGCCTGTAGTCCCAGCTACTCGGGAGGCTGAGGCAGGAGAATTGCTTGAACCCGGGAGGCAGAGGTTGCAGTGAGCCGAGATTGTGCCACTGCACTCCACCTTGGCGCCTGGTGACACAGTGAGACTCTGCCTCAAAAAAAAAAAATTCAATGTGTCAAATTAATACCTCACAAACCATACTTCATACTGGGGATTATTACAAGGGACAAAATTGAACATTATATAATAATCATGAGATCTGGTCATTTAAAAGTGTGTAGCACCTGCCTCCCCTCCCCCAGCTCTCTCTCGCTCCTGCCTTTGCCGTATGAAGTGCTTGCTCCTGCTTCACCTTTTACCAAGAGAAAAAGCTTCCTGAGGCCTCCCCAGAAGCTGAGCAGAAGCTGTTACCAGAAAGGGGTCCCAATCCAGATCCCAAGAGAGGGTTCTTGGATCTCATCCAAGAAAGAATTCAGGATGAGTATACCGTGCAAAGCAAAAGAAAGTTTATTAAGAAAGTAAAGTGGTGAAAAATACAGCTACTCTATAGACAGAGTAGGGTGTTCCCAAAAGTAAGAGAAGGAATGTGTCCACCCTAGGTAAAATACTCATTTATATACAGGATTAAAAAAGATTATGGGGAGACATGGTCTGCTACAAGGGTTTGTGATAAAGGATTAATTTTCTTAATTACTATTTTTGCAAGAATTGATATTATGATCTTTAAAGCAAAATTAGGAATGCTTCTGTTCTCAAGGTATCAGGATATCGGGACACTCCTAAGTCTGGGTCTGTTCAGTAAATGTTATCAATCTGTTCCCTTAACCATAAACCTCTAGAGGCTAGAAATAATTAACTTTCTGAGAATGCAGCTAAGCAAGTCCCAGCCTCATTTTTCCTACCCCTCACTCAAAATCGAGTTGCTCTGGTTCGAGTGCCTCTGACAAAGCCAGCGCCATGCTTTCTGTAGAACCTGCAGAGCCGTGAGCTAATTAAAACCTCTTTTCTTTTTAAATTACCCAGACTCAGGTATTTCTTTACAGCAATACAAGATGGCCTAATACAGGTCTGCATTGCTTAGGAGTCTCATGTTGATTGCAGTGTTTTCAGTGGTTTCTGAAGGAAGGCTAACTTCTCTCTCAAATCCTGCTGATGATGTTCATTTGCTCACATATGTCTGGCTGGTGTAACTTGCACTTTTGTCTCTCTCATCTTGGTCAGAATCTGGTGCTCCTTGGCTGACTCAGCCTCAGCCCATCTGTGCTGGCTTCGGCAGACCCCTCTGAATCTGGGCCTCATCCTCGCTTCCGATCCTGGCCAGGGTTGTCCACTCCACAGCCTCAGCTGCAGGGTAACCTAGCCCCTATCTGGCTGAGGCTTGCCTCATGGTAGCACTCCTGGCTCTTGAATCAGCCACTTTGCATACCCTCCAGCGCCCCCCACCCACAACCTTCCTCAGATGATTCAGCCCCCTGGGGTCTCACCTATAACACAGCAGTAACCACGATCAGCTCTAGAAAACAAAATCCTTCATTTCTAACCATCTATTTGCCCACTTTGTAGATGATAGCATGATCCGATAGACATGGAGAACGTGGTGATTCAAGTAAAAGGAATGATCATTACAAAAGCTTATTCCTTGAAAATGTGGAAGGGCATGGGATCCAAGTAAAGGGTGTTAAGGAAAAAAATTATTCATGACATTTATTAAAGAACGGTAAGGCAGACTTTATCCATCAGGATAGGTGTAGGACCACTGCAATGGGGGGTTATGTAGTGAAGGGAGAGAAACTTGGTTCCACTCCAAATACAACAAGGAAAAGCGGGGATTTATAGCCAAAAAGCAGGGTGGGTAGCAATGGATGGAAAATTACGAAGAGGAAACACCAAGGGTAAGGGGGTATTCTGGCTAAATTGAACTAACAGGATTCTTGGTGAAGGTGGACTCCGGTGATCAGACATCACCTGTGGGATGAGGAACCTGAGATATTGAGGATGGAGAATTCTAACTAAACTGAGTTAGCAGGGTTCTTGTTAAAATTGCACAATGCAGAGACAAACATGGAAGTTTAAAAGTCCCCTGTCCAGGGCTGTCTGCTCCGCAGCCTCGGCTGCAGGGTCACTTAGACCCTAGCTGGGTTAGGCTTCCTTTATGGTACGGATCTTTAGCTCTCGAATCAGCCACTTTCCACTTCTGCCCCTCACCCTTAGGGACCTCCCCGGGCTCCGATGCGCAGGCCCAGAGCCCGTCAATCGTAGGCCAGACCCGCCCTCCGGGCTGCGTTTTTCCGGCGGCGCAGAAACTTCTTGCGCGGTTGCTATGGTTCTGAGGGCAAGACTATGGGAGGCTGCCCTGTACGGTAGGTTCGTCGGGGCCTTTCCGGCCGGTACCAGCCCATTCGCTGGTCCCCACCGTCATCACGCTTTGCTTTCGCAGCCAAGATCTTGGGGCTCGGGGAGGTTACGTAGCGGAGATGTATTTTCCTCCGGGGTTTGTGGCGCTCGGGTTGCAAGACTTGGAGGTAGCAGTGTTGCTCCGCGAAGCGGCCCTGCTCGCCTCAGCCCAGCCCTTCGTACTTGAAAAAAATGCCGCGAAGCGTTCTCCGAAAGAAAATACTGGTTCTTTGGTGGTCGGTGCCTTACAAGCCCTGGAGGCGGGGGTGAGGTGGGGAGACGTGGTCCCTTGTGAAAACTCAGTCAGTGGACAATACCATTCTGTTTTTCAAATTGGCATTTCTTCGATGAGGCTGCTAGGTACCCTTGCAACTAGTTATTTCTGTTTCTCTGATTGGTTTTGTCATCTTTCTCCACTTGATACTGGGGTTCTGTGGACCTTTATCAATGCATTCTTTCATTACAAACGTCTCTGAATCTCATTGTAGAAAACTTGGTTAGACTGTGAAGTGTAATAAAGAAAGCCAATCTTACCCATAGTCTGATCACCCAGGCGTGACCATTAATCGTATTTTGTGATAAATTTCCTTGAATGTTTTTCATTCATAAAGTTGCATTCTAAACAAAAGAGATTAACATTGTATCATGATTTGAACATCCCGCTTTTTTTTTTTTTTTTTTTTTTTCTTTTTTTGAGACAGAGTTTCGCTCTCGTTACCCAGGCTGGAGTGCAATGGCGCGATCTCGGCTCACCGCAGCCTCCGCCTCCTGGGTTCAGGCAATTCTCCTGCCTCAGCCTCCTGAGTAGCTGGGATTACAGGCACGTGCCACCATGCCCAGCTAATTTTTGTATTTTTAGTAGAGACGGGGTTTCACCATGTTGACCAGGATGGTCTCGATCTCTTGACCTCGTGATCCACCCACCTCGGCCTCCCAAAGTGCTGGGATTACAGGCGTGAGCCACCGCGCCCGGCCCACATCCCGCTTTTTAAACTCAGCTTCACACTTTGAGAAACCATTTTCATAGTATTAGTCTGTTTTAAAAACAATGCAAACATATTGTGAGCTGTTGAAAGTTTCAGTAAAACTTGAGCGCAAAATACTCAAAATACCATGATCAAAGGCAACCATCACCATGCTCCCTAATGAAGGCAGGAGCTGTGGCTTGTGTTTGTTTTACTCTTGTATCCTGGGCACCTGGAGGAGTGCCTAGCACTTAGTGGATGCTCAATAAACATTGTGAAATAAAATAATATTTACATTCAGTCATTTTTTTCTATATGTAATCAATCATTTCGTAATGGAGTATAATGTAGCAACAGTTTTCTACATGATTTTTTATTTGGCATTTTGTAGTCAGCATTTGCCTGTGTCATTAGGATATCTTAAAAATCTGTTTTATTGGCCTCAGCCAGTTCAGTTGACAAAGTGCATTTACTTGGTTGGTAACAGACTCAGGACAGAGCCCAGATCTTTCTAGGTTCGAAGCTCTTTCTTTCATTTCATAATCCCACTGAGGCTTCCGTAAGATGTAGCCTAGAATTTCCTTGGTAGATGCGGTGGATCTTTTATTGTTGCTCCATGTTTTGATCAGGTGTTCATATATTGCCTATCTTTCAGAAAAAAAGACCCTACCCTGGATCAATTCATAGAACTGAGATTCTGGAAGGCATCCTAAGGTTATTTAGGCCGGTGGTGAAAAGCTAGTCAACGGAGCCTGCTGCACTGATTTAGATAATGTAATGAGGAGCTTGCAATATAAAGGAAAATACACTAACTATGAATTCAGGGGCCAAATTACCAACATGCTCTTGGAGTTAGGGGCACAGACATATGACAGTAAACAGTATATAGGAAGCAAGCCTCATCTGACTACAAAGTTCTTTCCCCAAATCCAACTAAAACTGCTTTGGCATGCCTCACACATGTCTGGGAAAAAATCACATTTCCTGCAGAAAAAAAAAAGTGCCTTTTTAAACACTGTATACAAATAAGCTGGATTCATTTATACTGGCAAGTTCTTTATCATAAAGATATTGTTTGATTGGGACATGCAGTTCTTCATTAACTTTTACTTCCTGAAAACTTTTATGGAGGACCTTGGGCCAAGGCTAAAGAGAACTTTCCTTCCAGCCTTAGCTCTACCACCCTGACTCATTTTACTGTCTGAGTAACTGTGCTTCTCTGGGTCTGCTGTTTCCTCAGTTTTTGTTTTTTTTTTTATTTTTTTTTTCGAGACGGAGTTTCACTCACGTTACCCAGGCTGGAGTGCAATGGCGCGATCTCGGCTCACCGCAACCTCCGCCTCCCGGGTTCAGGCAATTCTCCTGCCTCAGCCTCCTGAGTAGCTGGGATTACAGGCATGCACCACCATGCCCAGCTAATTTTTTGTAGTTTTAGTAGAGACAGGGTTTCACCATGTTGACCAGGATGGTCTCGATCTCTTGACCTCGTAATCCACCCGCCTCGGCCTCCCAAAGTGCTGGGATTACAGGCGTGAGCCACCGCGCCCGGCCCCTGTTTCCTCAGTTTTAAGAAGAGTTCAGGCTATGTTAGTGGGTGTCACAGGAAAGCAGATATAGGGAGAGATGTGGTTAAAGAGCCCCTGTTCCCAGTACAGGAACCCCTTTTTTTTCCTATTATGTGTTGCTTTTAGTTTCTTAAAGAAAGTGGTTTAATTTAACAGTGTTAGAAATCACTGCACTATGTGATCAGTACTCAGTCTCCCAAAGGTGAGAATTGACTAAACAGTAATGAAATTATAAAAATGGGTAAACTCAGCCATTCTTAGAAGTATCAAAAACTCAAAAGTAGTCTCTAAACAGATGGCTGGGGAGAATGTCTGATTCATAATAGAGTGCTGTGAAAATTGTGTTAAATGCTGCAATCTGATTACTTATTGACAAGGAACTTGAAACTGAAGATGTAATCTTACCAATCATTGAAAGCAATTTTGAAAAAAGAATATTTCCAGGAAGTAATCGGCCACAATCTCAAGAAAGTAATCGGTGACAATCCAGTGGAGTAACTACTATGTCATAATACTAGTTGGTATAGCAACAGTAAGTGCCTAACCACATTCAACATACAAGAAATAGCTCTTCAGTGTCCCTACACCATTACAAGTGTAATGACTTGTATTTATTAGCATGATATAGCTTTAATTGAGCTATAATTACTAGTAAATAGACACTGGCAGTTATACATGTCTTAAGTGTTATCTTATGGAAGGGGTTAAAACATCATTTACCCTGGAATTGTAACTTCATGGAGTCAAGACAATGAAACTAATTAGGTAGATTTTGAAAACTTAGCTATTAAATTCGTCATGTTCTTACTTTATTTTCAAGGGTCACTTAAAGTTATGAAAATTATTTCTAGAAATGAAATTTACAGCCTGACTTTACTTACAGTTCTTGTATTACATTTTTTATCTTCATGCCTGGTAATGGAGTACTTAAGACTTTTATATCTTGGGATAGCAGATAGTGACATATTTTTTCAGGCAAGATCTCATATATATATGTTGTCACTGCTTTACAGTTAAAGCGTCCAAAAGATTAATTTTTAGATGACATATTTTCCTCTTTCTTTGCAATTTATTTTCAGGAAAAGAAGAAATGGCAATAAAGAGGGCAACCATCATTCCCCCCAGCCCAAAAGGAGTAAGAGAAGCCCTGTCTTTCAGGATTCTCGAGATACAGAGGTAGGAAGTGTGATTAGATAACCTCTATTTCATTCATTGTCTACACTAAATTATCCACTTTGTGCTCCCTAATGAAAAGAAATGTATTATTCCAAGAAATCTTCATAAAAGCTTTCTTGCTTGATTACAGTGGCTTTTGAGCTGGAGCTCTTAATTATTATATACAGTATCTCACAGGAGATGGAAAAGAAGCACAGAAAAACTTTGCTAAACATAATCAGGAGGAATTAGGCCCCGTAATTTTGCCCCTCATATGAGCAGGGAATAGTAGTCTTACTCACCTACTTTTCGTATGGAAAACATATTTTCTAGTATGTAGTGATATGTTATTAGCTGGAAGGTAAGTCTTGCTTTCTCAGTGAAAAAGTTAAAAATCTGGGGCAGTCTCAAATTTTGTAAAACTTTAATGGTGCTGGAAAAAGAGCTTGAAGTTTTTAATTTTTTATTGATATAGAATAGTTGTACATATTTTGGGGGTACGTGTGATATTTTGATACCTGTATATAATGTGTAATGATCAAGTCAGGGTAATGGGGATATCTATCACCTCAAACATATATCTTTTATTTGTGTTGGGAACTTATAATTCTTTTCTATTTTGAAATATATAATAAATTATTATTAACTGTAATTTTCCTACCATACTATTGAATACTATAACTTATTCCTTCTTTAGAACTGTATTTTTATACCCCTTAGCCAACTTCTTTTCATCTCCCCTTCCTCTTTTCTAACCCTCTGGTAACCACCATTCTAAGGAGCTTGAATTCTAACTTCAAGGTGCTTCACTTTAATGACTTGTATTCATTAGCATAATATAGCTTTAATTGAGATATAATTACTAGTAGAGTGTTAAAGGAGCCTTGTAAAGTCTTTCTGAGTTAATCCTTTTAGTTAGTAACTTAATATGGCTTACTTTTCCCTTTTTTGAGCAAGATGAGAAAAGATTATCAATCCATGTCCTCTTCCTGGTACCTACCTATACACAGGTATGATTATCCGAGATCCTGGGCAGCTACTTGGATGGGTAAAATGTAACTATGTTTAACTTATATAATTTATTCTCTTAGGTGCTGGGGGATTTTTGTTGGATAAAGACCCAAACATTTCTGTACAAGTGTCTCTTACTTACCAGGAGCATTCGTTTTACCTTTTTTTTTTTCCTGGTTATCTTTTATTCTTTATTATTTTTTTATTATACTTTAAGTTCTAGGGTACATGTGCAGATTGTGCAGGATTGTTACATAGGTATATACATGCTATGGTGGTTTGCTGCATCCATCCCCCCATCATCTACATTAGGTAATTCTAATGTTAACCCTCCCTAGTCCCCCCACCCCTTGCTATACCTCCACTAGCTCTCCCACCCCCCAACAGGCCCTGGTGTATGATGTTCCCCTCCCTGTGTCCATGTGTTCTCATTGTTCAACATCCATTTATGAGTGAGAACATGTGGTGTTTGGTTTTATGTTCTTGTGTCAGTTTGCTGAGAATGATGATTTCCAGCTTCATCCATGTCCCTGCAAAGGACATTAACTTATCCTTTTTTATGGCTGAATAGTATTCCATGGTGTATAAGTGCCACATTTTCTTTATGCAGTCTATCATTGATGGGCATTTGGGTTGGTTCCAAGTCTTTGCTATTGTAAACAGTGCCACAATGAATATACGTGTACATGTGTCTTTATAATAGAACAATTTATAATCCTATTTATAACACTTTGGGTATATACCCAGTAATGGGATTGCTGGGTTAAATGGTATTTGTATTTCTAAATCCTTGAGGAGACACCACACTGTCTTCCACAATGGTTGAACTAATTTATACTCCCATCGGTTTATTGAGTAAAAATTATTTTTACTCAAAAAAATTTATTGAGAAGAAATTAAGAGTGGAAAATTATGTAGATATACACACAAGTGGCTTATCTGGAGCAGATCTCTGCCTTTTTCTCTTCCCTACTGTATAGATTAGGAAAAGATTTTCTGTGCTAATGCTACAATTCCAAGGGGGCAGCAGAAGTAAGACAAATGAGAGAAAAACAGAACCAGGAGGCCCCACATACTTTTAAAATTAGAGTTCTATGAATCCTATTATTTTTTTTAACTGGTAGGAAATCTCCCCTTGTCAGATTATTTTAAGTAATATCAATTCGGATGACAACTGAGACATTTTTTTTTTGAGACAGAGCCTCACTGGATCACCCAGACTGAAGATGCTATTGCATGATCTCCACTCGCTGCACCCCCCACCTCCTGGGTCAAATGATTCTCTCACCTCAGCCTCCTGAGTAGCTGGGATTACAGGCATGCAGCACCGTGCCTGGCTAATTTTTGTATTTCAGTAGAAATGGGGTTTTTCCATGTTGGCCAGGCTGGTCTCGAACTCCTGGCCTTAAATGATTCTCCTGCCTTGGCATCCCAAAGTGCTGGAATTACAGGTGTGTGGCACCATGCCCTAGTGTTGATGAAATTTTTTGAAGAACATTTTCTCTTAGGTTCTTTCTCATTAAGAACCTAAGAGAATTTACAGTCATTCTCATTAAGTTTGATTACATACATTCTAAGAGACAGAACTACTTTGGGAGACGTTTTTAGGGATGAAATTGTTGAACAAAATAATGGTCATTAGATGTGGTTTTAAACACTATGGCAAAATGGGAACCTTGTGAAATTAGCTTCTACTTAAAGATACATTCAAAATGGAGGAACAAGCTTTTTCAAAGACGGCCCAATCTGTTTCATGCATTTTAAGAAACCTTGTTCATGTAGCATACTAAACATCCCAAGCACTTTCATATTGCAGTTGAATCTTACAATCTCAGTTGTTTTAATGAATTGAAGATGAATATGTCCACATGTTTTTTTCTGCAGGTGAGGATTACCTATCAGTCTTTTTTTTTTTCATTTCTTTTTGTTTGTTCAAATCCCATTTACTGAATTGAAACAAGGTGAGTTGCATAGATTTTTAAATAATTGTATAGATTCTATTATAAATTGCATTTGTAAGCTGAAAAATAACTTACAACTCAGTGTCTGTTCTAACTTCATCTTATGAGAGAAACTGAGCTACAAAAAGCATAGATTATTTACCCCATCAGCACAGAGAAGTTAACACATGAATATCATTGCCTTGCTAATTTGGAAAGTGGTTGTAATTCAACAACCTAATTAACTTGGTATTTTACGGTTCATAAGATTCTACAATGTTTCTAGTATTAGGGAATGTGGACGTGTCATTTTAAATGCACTGGAACTTTGGGAGCACATATTTTAAGTGCCCTCTGATGGATTTGGTTAGGATCATCTGTTTTACTTACTCAAGTTTCTACAGGTGCCTTTGAATAAACATCATATTATTATACCAGGGATAGAATATGTATTAGGAATGAATGTTCTGTTATGGAGGTTCACATAAAGGAAAAGCTCTAAGGCATGGAGGGATAGAATTGAGAGGAAAGCTAAGGCTTGAAAGAAAGTAAACTACCAGGTTCATCTGCTTTTACAATTAAAAAGAGTTATATAATTTTATATCATAAATACATGCATGAATTTCTGCTCTATTTTTATGAAGATATTCTGTAATTGATATTCCGTCTCATCTCCTCAGTTCTATTTATTTACTGTTTCCTTCATTAGCCTGCTAAGGTTCTCTTTTCACTCCCTAACTAATCTTGCATCTGGTTTCTTTTTCTCTCAAGTACTGTGTCTTTTCTCTTTCTTCTAAATCCAAACTGTAATCTGCATTCACTCCCCAGTCAGCAGTCATTGCTACATTCTTGTCATTGCAATAGCTTGATGCTGTCATTCTCAAAGTATTGTATTTTTCTTGATTAGGCTCAAGAATTCCCTGTTGAATCCCTAAGTAGCCCAAGCAAAGTGCTTCCTTATACATTTTATAATAGACATGCAAATATTTGTTGAGATACTGGTTGGACATCAGAACAATCTGTGCCTACTTGAGAGCCTCTCAGAGGTTGGGCCCCAGCATGTGGATATGAGTCAAAGTGTCAGAAAGCCACACAGGTGGTTCTGATGCCTATTCTAAAACAGAATATGTTATGGCAAATCCCTGCTAGCCTCAAAGTTTCTTTGGTTACAGGTTAAGTATGCAGATTTCATTATGGCCCAAACTAACCTAGATCCTGCTTTTTCACACAAGCCTGGACTCCGGGGTTTTTGTAAAGTGCCTTTGTGAATTTTGCATAATGAGATACCCTTCTTTAGCGTCTTCATAAATATAATTTTATTTTGCTATGTATGTAAATTTGCAAGGGCTCTGTTCTTCATTTGCCTTGCACAGATACCAGCATTAAACCTATATTGAAAATGCAGAGAAAAAAGAATGAGCTTTGTAACTGTCAGATAGGATAAGCATTCTGGTAAGACATTTTTATGAGGAATCAGGAGGATGATGAAAATGTTTTATATATTATGAGTCCTTCCAAATACTGGAGTACTTAAAAATCTTATTTATTCTCTGATAAAAGAATTTGCAGTTTGCGCGGCTGAGGCAGGAGGATCCCTTGAGCCCAGGAGTTCAAGGCCACAGAGAGCTGGGATTGCAGCAATCCAGCCTGGGTGTTCCAGCAAGAGCCTGTCTCTTAAAAAATAAAGTGTTGTAAGGTTAATGCTTCTGTACTAAGATAGCAGTTTCAAGTGTCAAAACCATGTACCATCAAGAAGCAGATTTTCCTCTCAATCATTCTGACAATAAAACAACCCATTAAACGGGATATCTCACATGAAATAGATTCACAGGGTAAGTGTAACAAAGCCCAGATTGCATGATATAGGCTATGTTTATTAAATGAACAGCATTATTGGCCTAGAAAATGCTAGTGTATGTGACTTTTTAGATGCTCTTTAGTAGGCTAAAGGAGATTAAACCCTCTTCCCAAAACCTCCTTTATGGACTCATAGTGCTTTTTAAGTCTTTGCTTTGAAGTCAGAAGTAACTGAATCCAAAAGCAGATTTTACTTCATTTTGTAGTAGCATT